ATGGGTCCGGCGACCCCAAAGCAGGAGGTCGCCAAAAATTTTAGCAATTTTGATATTTCTTTAAAAACTAAACTTAGTGACCAACAGCCCTAGTGGACCACGGCCTGCAGTGCCCCGAAATCTGCTTTCTTGACCTTGGGCCCCGGAGTGCATCAGCATATGCCCTGGGCAAGTGGTCAGTTTATCGCTGGAGCGCCGGTGTTTAGTCCTCAAGCGAACTTGGTACATTTTATTGCCCCACTCAAGGAATGAAAGGCTGAGTCAACCTTGCCCAACCCGGGGATCGAACCCTGGCCCTGTGGTGTAGCTGCGCGACGGGCTAGCCACTTCTCCACCGAGCCGTCTGATATTTTTTTAACTTATAATAATTTTACAATTACCAAATATTTTTGCATAATGTGTCAGAAAATGAACAAAAATAAGGCAATACAGACAATTAAAAACCAAACCGTTTCAACGCATTTTTTTATTATAGAAATGTTCATGTTACTTTAAAAATTAAAATTAATGACCTAAAATTGCAGTAGTATACAACAGTATATTACAGTATAAGTGAAGAAACTGACAGTTTCACTCACGCGTGAGTCGAACTTGCTCAATTTTCTTGCTGTCGTAAATATTATGGGGTCCCCACAGCGAAAGATTTAAGAAACTCTGCTCTAATACAAATGAACAAATACAAAGTTTCTCTTTAAATACTTAGTAATGCATTTGGTGAAATGTTCTGAAATTTTAAAATTATTCGCATAATTTTCCCTTTCCTCACTGTGTTCAGAGAACGAGCTCCCTAGATTTTAAAATAGATTCGTCGATGTAGTTACTGATTCGTTTTACTAATAAAAACAAACCTTCGCAAAGTACCTACAAAGGTCACGTCGAACCTTCCCCTTCTAACTATAGAGCTTTATGCCAGACTGCCGATCGTAGCGAAGATAACAGACCTGACATTCAGTCTACGATTTCCTGAATCAACTGCACATTTCCCTTCTCTAATTATTTATGGATGGTTTGAGACATAAGGAATAGCAGGGACAGCAATAAGAACGAGCGAGATTTAAGTTTCAGGGAAATAGAAATGAAGATATCTTATTAGATATTGGAATGTTAATACCGCTATATATTCTAACTGGAATATAGGTTTATTATGATAGTTACTTGTAGTTTATTCATGACTACTTTTCGTTTGTTATGTTCTTGCTGCAACCGCGTCCTTCGGAAATTAAAATTATACATATAAATTTTCTCCTCTCTATTTTCGGAAGATAAGTAAAAAGAAAAGAAGAAAAAATAGCAGGAAATTACGGTAATTATGATTTTCTGCCGGCAAGAAATAGAACGCTATTAATATTTATCTACATTATTGTTTTTATTCTTGGATATTTTAGACGAATTACAAGATAATAACAGCTCAAACTTCCTTGGAAACGTATCCCCTGATACGTGTACAGACATTCGCATAAAACAATCATATATTTTAGGAAATAGGTATAAAAACATGTAACGACGTCTCTATGCAACCACACACATATGCACTGTGACGAGTGCAAGATCAAATTACTCGAGTCTTCTGGTTAATTCGAAATTCTTCGTAGCTGGTTAATGGCTTCGATCCCGGAATGGAGCCCAAACACTCACGTTGTAGCCCACATTGTAGGACAAGATAGCTAAAAAACTTGCCTTTAATCGAAAAATTAAATCCGGCAAATACATTTGTTGTTATAAAAGTTACACAGTGAATACTTTGAAGTATAAAAGAATGCATTTGATTCCATAACCCGATTACCTTTTCTATGCCTTAGAATGCTTTTAGAAAGCTACGGCTGTTCTCGCGACTGTCGCGTAGAAACTCGAAGCTTTTGTGAGGCGACTTTTGAGCTTGTTTATTTTATTTTGACATAATTTAATTTTCTTTTATGGTGGTTAAAGTTAGGTATGTATATTTTAGGACATATTTTATATTTTGGAAAGTGAATATCTTAAAAATCACAGTTGTAGTTAATTTTTGAACAACGCGCAAAAAATGAAAAGCCTTTTAGTTTAGTTCCGGGTCTGATCGGACACTTTTGTTCTCATGGTGATAATCTCAGTGTATAACAGAAATATAATAAGCTTTATTTTGCCGAGATTTTTTGTGAATGCAACAGATTTGTTTTGGGGGGCGGAGGTCAAAAAGTGCGGTATTCACTAAATGGTCGTATATTTTAAAGCATGCGTATTTAAATGTTTATATACTTAGAAGCCTACTCTAGCAAGCTATTAATAATATGGAAAACATTTCTTAGCATCTCAAAAAAGTTTAGTCGGAATTAACATGAAATATATTTTTTTGTTTTTTTTTTTTTTTTTTTTTTTTTTTTTTTTTTTTTTTTTTTTTTTTAATATGTGATAAATGGTTCCGTTGACATTCAAATTAACGACAAAAAACTGCTGATTATCCTGTTTTAGTCTGAATTCAAAGTGGCTAGGTTAAAAGTGGATCGGTGTACGACTGTAGATTTTCAAGATTGGTGTGAACAAACCAAGTTATGAAAGGAAGAGGAGTATAAAAATAAACACAGAAATAAATTCTTGAAATACTAGGTTTAATTAGGGACTTGAGAATGCCTGGAAACACCAAGGCTTCAAAACATTTTCAGGGAATTACCACCACGGAGCAAGCAAGTACAGAAAGACTTTTTAAAGAGACACAGAAATGCCATGTCTCCAAATGTCAGGCGAAAGAGCTACACTTTAATCTTGGCTAAAAGGCGGGCTTTGATGTTAAGTTACTAGGCAATAATACAGTCTAACTGGAATTAGCAGTCTTCACAGCTAGAAAGTTCTGTTAGTTCTGTTATAGTAGAAGAAAAGCTAATGCGTCTTTAATAAAGAGGAAATTAAGATAACTTTGATTTCAGCAGAGGTTCAGTTATAAGTGTCTCTGAGTTATGTGATTAAATTTTGCATTATTATGCTGGAAAGTATAAGAAACTTCACTGAAAAGGAAAAAATGTATTTATTTACGAATTACGGATTCGATGGCTCCTCAAAACACAGTTTCTGCAAACACGTTTCTAATTCTTTTAAATATAAAACATTATATATATTATTTTCTTGCACATGCTAAAAACCTAGTATTAAAATGTTTTATGACCTAAAGAAAAATGATTAAAAGTTTATTTAATAAAAAGGAGCACGATCCATAGTATTGTAGTATGTATGAGGAGTGGGGGGATGACTATGCACGGATCTTTAGGTAGTTGAAAAGAAAAATTGGTTGGAAAACAAACGGAAAACAAAATTAATTCATTGAAGGAAAAAATAGTGTGCCATAGAATTAACCAAACAAAAAAGTAATAAAGGTTTAAAAAAACAGAGAAAAGCTTAATATAAATGTGACTGCTATATAAAATTATTCAAAGTTATAAAGCTAAAAATATAAATGAAAACTAAGATTAAAAATATTTCTGTCCTTCAGGTCCATTTTTGTCTTTCAGAAAAGGTGTTTTGGGTATTTTTCCCAGGAGTTTGGGTTTTTTTTTTCCAGAGGTATTTTGGCGTTTTCGGGTTTCTAGCAAGATTTTGTTTGTCTTATAATTTAACGCCCACCAATAGATCAGTGTAAAACCACTGAACAGCGAAAGTTTGGAGCGAGTTATAAACCCATGTGAATGCCCTGGTTTTCATTAACTTCCGTGTGTAACATCAATACGAGCCAGCTTTCCTTATAAAGCCTTCAACGAAGGCATTTCTCTCCTCGAGTGCTTTGACACCATCGATTAAACAAGCTAAATTTGGTTAACTGATGCTGTAAAATTTTTTTGGGGAATTTTGTTTAATTCAGAAATACTTTCAATTTTAATTTTCATTCGCTTTTTAGTCTTAAATTTAATATATGACTAGGTAGCTGTCATTTTTTGTCCTATTTACCTAATTTTGTTTTAACATTTATCACTTTATGTTTGTTTAATATTGGCGAGTCACATTCACTATTATTTGCATTTAATTTTTTTACTCGATGCGCTTGTTAAATCTCTGGGTTGAACAATCCCCTTTCATTTTAATTCCTTTCATAATTTATCTGCAGTCTGTCAATTTTGGTTTATCTATTGTTCTTTCAGTAAACCTTATTTATTTATCTTCACATACAAATATATATATATATAAGGTTAGAGCCAATATATATCAATAAATTTAGAACAGTGCATAAAAGTTGGATATTAATAACAATAAAAGTGTATTCGCTCATATAATAATATCTTTACACACCAAGTTCACTTACACCAGTAATTCCCCTTAAGTTTTATTCTAGATGATTGAAAGGGCTACTTTGCAATCAAATTTCGCGATCTGCCTCGCAAGCTTTCTTGCCTAGTTTTTCTTAAGAATTCCTCTACGAAGACTTTCTTTCCCATCAGGAAAATAGCCCTAATGTGTTTTGCCATAAGTAAGTAATCCAATTCAATCCAAGCCTGACAAAGACACTAATGTCCGTGCCTATTCAGAATTAACTTCATATAGAAATTGCTGTTTAAATTCACCTTCGTGTGTAAAACATGATTGCTCTGTCAACAAATTAATTGCGGAATAACACGATTGTCAGTAATTCTAAAACTTTCTTGCCGACCTAAATACTTTATTTTCAGTTATGTTTAAGATATGTTCCAGGAGATAATTTTCTTTCCAGAAATATTTTAAAACCCCACACTCTTAAAAAATTAAGTTTCAAAACTTTTTTCTATCAAGCTGAAACGCAGACATTAGTTTGCTTATCACAATGTACTGAAACCTCCAATACTGAAAAGTCATATATCCTACATTTTTTCCCAAATTCAGTTTTCCGTTATTTTCTACTAATCATTCATCTTTGAAAAGTACATTTAGTTGCAGAGCATCAATAATTATTTTTAAGTAAGACCTCACGTTTTAAACGTTATTATTTAACTCTTTACAATCATAATCACAGAAAGTACGCATTATATTAATTAAATTATAGCAAATTTATTTAGACTTATATTTACCTGGTTTCTTTTCTGTTTCACTGACTTGTTCAACGGTAAATTTCTTCTTTTTGCACGATTGTCCATGGCCCATTTTTTAATACTTGTCCTCAGTGCTAGTAAACAAACGTCCTTAAACGGACAATACTCTTTAGTTGTTATATGATAAATAGTACTTCTTCACTGTTCATAATAGATATCATACTTCAGTTTTTCACAAAATTTATGAAATTTGCTTCTGCATCGTAAAATAAAATAATGTATATGTCTTTCCTACAAAGCATAAATAAATACTTTTGAAGGAAACTATGAAATCTGTAGTACGTGACTAAACATTCTTTTATGATAAAACTGACATATTACAATGAAATTTCCGCTCTTGCATCGATACCACATGCGTAAACTAACACCTATTACTATTTCTTGAGGTTATACAAAATTATTTATCATACATGTAAAATTATTGTACTTATTTACTAAAATTATTTACGGCTTTGGGTTTTAATTTATTTAATCATTATGTAATTTATATAACTATCATATACATTATTTTTAGCTATCGCATTATTTGTTATTGTGATATATTTCATAATTTATTCTTTGATTCATTTTATTCCTTTGCCTTTAAAAAAAGAGCTTCATTTTCAAACTGACATATTCAAAAAATATTGAAAACAATGAATACTACTTGTTATAATGAAAAATAAATGGCTTCTTTTATAATTTGGCTTAAAATATGATTTTTATCTGACTTTAATATAAATTAGTCGAGCTGTAATTTCAAATAGAAATGATAACTCTTGAAATATAACAATAATTATTGTCTAAGTATGAATATAATGTTTGTGATATGCTGTCAGCGTGGAAGTATAAAATGTTCACATAATAATTTTACGCAGTTACTGTAAACTTTTCAGATTACTGTAAACATTTCAGACAATCTAAAAAATGTTATGAATTATGAGAAAGAAATCTTAGATAAATTTTGATAATTCAACGCACAAAACTATATAAATATGTCATCATTATTAAGTTGACCTAAAATACATTTCCAGAAAATAATACACTTTTTTAGCTTAGAAATACAGCTAAAATATACCATTTAGAAATTTATAACTTTTTTCTTCAAATTTTTACTTCAGATCAGTGGATTTGTTAATGCAAAAAATCTATGCTGATTTCACAAATGTAACGAGAATGTAAACACGTGCAATGCAAATAAAAAAAATCAGTTCGTACACACTGCACACTGTCTCTTTGAAATAGGCATGTTTTTCACGTAACACATTATAGTCTCATTTGCATATTCTCATGCTTACGATATCTGAACACTATAAGCCATAAATGAATAAAAACTTTTTCCATACTATACTGAAGTTCAATAGATTACGAAATCAACAGTTGTTTTACCAGTATATGGGACATGAAAGTCGCTGATTCTCAGTCACATGTTTTTTCTTTCCAGACTGTATGTAACAGAAAGCTTAGTGATTTAGTTTAATGCATTTAATACGTTGATTTTTTATACAAAAAGTATACAATTTACAAAAGATTATTTCGAATTCAATTATAAATCCTGCCACATAACCTGCAAACAAATAAATAAAATTCCGCAACAAATACTGACTGATAGCAGTGTCGCTTGATTTATTTTTAAATGTCTGACGGCATATTTCAGTAGTATTAGAAATAAACATAGAACATTTTAAACGAAATGAACCTTTGTAGTGCACAGATAGTCCTGAAACCAACTAATCGTTCACGTGAAAGGAAATCTAATCTCGGAACACCGATACAAACGGATGTCCGCAAAAGGCGATGAATCAATATCCTTTAGCCCCATTGTACCCATACTATATATCGCTGAAAATAACATTTTTGTATTCAGAGAGCATCAGAATTCTCTTTTAGTTTTTATAAAAATCATTCTGTGCGAACTCAGTCTAACCGAATCACCTGCAACATTCCTTGTCCCATCACTAAGTAAAACTGTGATACATCTTGCAATGTACTGCTCGAATTTCTTCGTGTCTTTCATTGGCTATAATCTGTGACGTCGCTGAGCATGCGCCTGCTTCTCATCTTCGATTTTTCAGACTTCTACATAAAAGAAAATATATCTCACAACATATGCTATTATTCTAGAATGGATAACTAGATCAGTGCTAGTTTATGAGAGAAAGATTATAATAATACAGTCAAATATGCATCAGTAAAACCCTTCTATAATGTTAAGTGTTTCAAAAGATGAAATAATTTCCCTAAACACAATGCATTGTTACTATCATTTTTGACTATTTAACTCACTCTTTTCACAGACTAATCAATCTCATTTAATCACTTTTTCTATCGTAGAGGAAAGCGGTTTTGAAAACGTAATGCTAATCTTAAAAGCAAATACCTAAACTCATTTGGATCATCTCCTTTTTACAACTTTTAACCATGGGCTGGGTGTTAAAAAAAGAAAAGCAGATGATGAAATTTTACTTATTAAAAAATTATGCACTCCTTGTTTTTTTTTCAGAAAATTGCTCTCCTTAAAATTGTTTTAAAATTATGCATTCCTTTTTTTTTTTTTTTTCCACAAAATTGCTCTCTTTAATTACGTCTCATTGGTGAATCAAATTAAAATCATTGGTGGGTCTAATGTTGGATTATCTTGCGCTAGAAGAATAATAGCGGAAGAAACAGAGCAGAATGGGGAAAAGAGAAAAAGAATTATCACTGTTTTAATATACAAGGCGCTCGAAAAATATCTGAAAAAAATTGAAATTGTGGTAAAAAGGGACCAAAATAAGCAGCTTTCATCGCAGAATGTGTGTTCGGAAAAGATACGTTCAAACAGCAGTTGGATCCACAAACGCCCGAGCAGTAGTTCACTGAATACTGGTAGTTCCGCGTAGGGTTTAAATCCCGGCGAATTGGCTGGCTACATAGGCGTTTTCTTGGATTTTCCCATATGTGCATGCATATGAGCTAATTTCCCCTCGAACGTCCTCCACGAAATCATTCCTTCCTTTAGCTAGTTAGCACTATAGAGCTTTGCCAAAATCAAATAAACCAAACCATCAAGCAGCAGTAGATGGTATAGGTTAAGGCAGCAGTTCTCAATCTTTTGACTAACACGTACCATCTAAGCGAAAATTGAAAACCTTTAGTACATTTTACAATCATTATTTTTCAATTTTTGAATAGAAATATTAAAAAAAAAAAATTCTCAAAGCTTTCAGATTTTATATTACGCCACAAAGGGGCGTTTTCTAACGTTTTGTGAGTCACCTTTATTTATTAACTATTATGCTCTTCGCACGCAAACCATAAAATTCAATTCAATATCAATATCCCAAAATATTTAAAAGAGCATATCTTTAGAATTTCTGATACACAGTCTGCGCGCTGGAGATAAAAATGTTTTTTCTACAGTGTTGTCATTGCTCGCTTTCAAATCGTTGAGTTTGTTAATGAAAAATTCGTTAATGTGTTACAAAATATGAAATCGATAATAAAACAAATTCCAGATACGCATATTTGGTGGAGGATTACGTTATTCAAAATTTGATGGCTCTAAATACCGTTGTTTGGTCACAATGGGAGAAGCGTACATACATTTATGCAGATTCTTAATTATTTAATTTCTTTAAATGTAACACAGGACGATAATATTGAGTGGCAACAATTTGAGAAGTGAAACCGACATTTAAAGTTTTCAACGCAAAATGCCAAAACGAAGTTAATAGCCCTTCTGGGCTAACGCCCTTAGGACTAAAAAGAAAGAGTATTTTCCACAACACGATTAAATTCAAAAACAAATGTAAAATTATTAAAAAAATTTAACTCTGAATGCTTTCAGATTCTACATTGCTCTCAAAAGGCCGTTTTTTTAACGTTTGATGCGTTGCCTTTATTTATTGAATATCATGTTCTTCGCACTTAAAACACAGAAAATTTAATTCAACAGCAATATCACAAAATATTTAAAAACAGCATACCTCTAGAATTTCCGAAACACAGTCTCGCGCGCTAGGGATTAATTTTTTTTTCGTACAGTGTTGCTTGCCATTGCTCGCTTTGAAATGATTGAGTTTGTTAATCAAAAATTCGTTAAAGTTTTGCAAAATTTGAAATAGATAATAAAACAAATTCGAAATAAAAAATCCGGGCTTCCAAGTGACCATGTGCGGTTGGAAGACTACGTTATTCAAAATTTGATGGCTCTGGATACCGCTGTTTTTGCACAGTGAGAGAAACATTCATGCAGCTTCTTCATTATTTCCTTTCTTTAAATATAATACATGGCGGTAATATTTGGTGGGAACAGTTTGAAAAGTGAACCGACGCAAAATGCCGTTTTAAAATTAATAACCCTTCTGGGCTAACACCCTTTGGGCTAAAAAAATATTTTGCCATTTTCATAACCTATTGCCTGTTTGAATTAAATATGCACACATAAAAATATTAGATTAAAATTATTTACCATTTTAATTATAAAAATTTAAGTTATAATACTTTAATTCTAAAATTTGGTAGGAAATTTGGGCCTGTTTAAGAGAAATCAATATGTGTGGTCTTATTTTATTTAGTTTTAAGCGTAAATAAGAATCCAGATTTAATTTTGTTTTGTATTCATTTTTTAAATACAACACGAAATAAAATCCCTGTTTACGCATATAGGTTGCGCAAAAAGGCAGTAAAAATTCAATAGCTTTATTTGAAATGCTTCTAAATTCTTTTTTTTTTTAAGCCAAAAATTAATCAATGTGTTATTTTTGAAAATCTTCATTTAGAGTTCGGTCACCGGAAATTTCTATCAATAATTCTTTTTCTTCGCGAGATAAAATTTCAGGTACATTTGAACAAAATGGATTTCTAATCCAAATTTTTCTTTTTCATAATCATCGGGAAAATACATGCTGAAATTATTTATCAATGAAATACAATGATTTGTAATGTCGGATGCTAATTCTTCTATTTTCAAATCATTTTCGGTTAGAAAACTTTGTAGAAGCGGCAAAAAGCTTGAAATATTATTGTCCGATTCTTTGATTATTAGCTCGAAATTTTTTATCATTGCCTTTATTTTATCTCTAACGGTAAACAAATTAACATTTTGCCCTTGTAATCCTAAATTTAATTCATTTAACTTTCCAAAAATATCAGCTAAATATGCTAAACGCGCCAACCATATTTCACTAAATGAACATTTTTGCAATTCAAATTTTGAATCACAGAGGAAAATTTGAATTTCTGTTCGAAGTTCAAAAAGGCGATTTAAAACTTTGCCTCTGGATAATCACCTTACTTCGAAATATAACAAAAGCGTTTCATGTTCTCTGCTCATCTCTTGGAATAAAATCGTAGTCTTGAATCTAAAGCCCGGCTCTTAATAAAATTAACAATTTTCACAGCTTGATTTAAAACGATTTTCAGGAATTGTTTTGGCTTCTAAAGCTTCATGGTGTATGGAGCAGTGAGTAAATTTAGTTTCAGGTGCGACTTTCTTTATTTGAGAAATCACTTCGGAATGTTTTCCTGTTAAAGCCCGAGCTCTGTCACTCCATACGGCTATGCACTTATTCCAAAGAATATCATTCTCAGACATACAATTGTTAATTATTTTGAAACTTTCACTTGTAGTTGCTCTATCATGAAGAGATTCACAAAATAAATACTCTTCAGTAATTCGTTTATCTTCTTCGAAACGTATGTAAACTAATAATTGAACAAAGTTCGTTACATCAATACTTTCATCCAAGTGTAATGCGAAATACTCACTCTGTTTTATTTTTCAATAAGTGACTCTTTTATGGAATCTGCCATTTCATAAATTCGTCGACTTACTGTATCAGTTGATAATGGAATATCATTAAGTTCATTAGTCGCTTTTTCGTTGAATAATGTTAACCCCTTAACTGCCGCGGGCGTATATATACGCCTTGCGCAGCCGATGCGTTAACTGCCCCAGGCGTATATATACGTCCTTCCAAACTGCTATCATTTTGCTTTGCGCTGCTACACCTAAAATTATTCGCAAAGTTAACGCATCGGCTGCGCATCTGGGCGCATCTGGGGCAGTTAACGCATCGGCTGAGCAAGGCGTATATATACGCCCGCGGCAGTTAAGGGGTTAAAACGATATCTTTAGCTGCTGGTAATATAAGGTTTTCTCCAATACTGTGAGCCTGCCCAGTCTTAGCAATTCTTCGGTTTAGCATGTAACTAGCTTCCAAAGCTTTTTCACTTGAAGTAGCAAAACCTTTCATTACTTGTCTACTATTTTTTAACTTCTATAATTTCCTCTAAAAATGTCCATCAGATTCATCACTTAAATTGGCATGCTTAGATTCAAGATGTCTTTTAAGAAACGATGGTTTCATAGTTGGATTGGATAATAGTTCACCGCCTCCATTCCAAGGAAATCCAAATGATAAATAACTTTCATTATACTTTCTAGCAACTCTTTTTTTTTAAATATTTTTAGTGCTAATATGTTGCCCTGGATCCAACCCCTGTGAACCGTCACTTTTCCGCTTAGTGAATTCTACCATGTTTCCAAAAATTAAGTTTTGTTTTATTATTTTTTCACGAATATTTAAATGCACAATATGTTACAAGGTTCTTGAAAAACAGACGACGGTATTCTCAAATAACGTAGAAAAGTAAAGAATGCAAAGCAACAAGAAGACAAAATACCTGCTGGTAGAGACAGCAAAACGACGCAAAAAATGTTTCTCATTGAAAATGGAGCACTATGAGCCCGGAAATGGCGACATAAAGTGTTGACATGCTAACAAATCGATAGAACTCTAAAAGAATTAATGAGATACTATTACCTTTCACTTTTAACACTTTTATTCATCACCAGCGCTTAAATGCGCCATTTTCAGGCAGGCACTCTGGGTTAAAAGTGCCTAGTTTGGTCCACTCTGGTACCTTTAAAAATTTGCCAGATATTTTCCAGGTGCTCTGTATATCAAAGGTACTTTC